TCGTGCTTCTGTTTCTGACCGCCTTGCCCGAGAGCACAGAAGGGAATGCTTCCTTCAGGTGCTGCACGGCCGGCCCCATGGTTTGCTGCAGGCAGAGCGGAGCAGCCCCTTGCTGGCTGAGTGCCCTCTCCTCTCGTGCACAGGAGAGCAATGGCTTTCATCCAGACTGAGTTGGTGGAACATCCCGAAAGGGCAGCTTAGGGCAACCTGTTCGCAGGGCTGCTCAGTCTCTCGTGTCAGGGCACTGAAAACAAGCTCACATGTGCCTCCCAGCCAGGCCAGGGATGCTAGTTTCTGTGCTGGCCTTTTTGTTTTGTGAGTGTTGCATCATTCTTGTTCTGCAGGGGCAAGGCCCGTGAGGGTCTTGGTCCTCACTCGAACACTTTGTCTGCACTGCAAAGCCAGGCACCGTTTGTGGAGTTGCCTGGGGCTGCTGAGTTGTGGCAGAGTCTTTGTGGGGAAGGGGAGTTGGAAGAACATCTGCGGGTGTGCTCTCCAAAACACTGCCACTGACCCCGCCACCAAAGCATAGGAACGGCGACCAACCCCAGGCCGCTCAGGCCATCAGCTCACGGACACCAATGTGGTGGACGGCAAATGGCGTTTCTTGGCGAGTAACACGGCGTTATATAGCCTGGGTTTACAACGTCACGTCCGTCTGCTTACGACCTAGGCTAGGCCCTATTGGCTACTCGGAGGGGGGTCTTATCTTTCCGTACAGTGCGACATCTTCCGACCGCCAGACCCTAACTACCTACATTTCCCCCCTCCCTATGTTTAATTAAATAGGCTAATGTAAAAAGTAAAAAAGTAGAAAAGTAGAAAAGGGTACACATATACATATAAAAAATGTTACAGCATGAGGCACTTCAGGTTAGTGGTTAATGGCTTCGGGTAAGTGGTTAGTGAGGGGTAATTAAGGGGACGGGTTGTAAGTTGGGGCAAGTTGGGATAAGTGGCGGTAATACTGAGTAGATACATTCTTAAAGTAGTTGGTGGCTTTCTACAAACATGATGTTAACCTGTTCTAGCCGGCTGTTCACAAATGACACAAAGCGATTCAATATACAGGGTCCAAAGAGTAATACCAGCACGATCATTCTACTTGCCCTATAGTAACAAACCCCAAAATCAAAATCAGACAAAGGCATCGTAGCCCCCTCCCTTGGGGGCTATTTCGCTGTTGCCCAGGGTCCGCTGGTGTGGAGCTCCTGGGTACAGCCGCAATGGTTAGTGACTTGTCGCCCTCTCTTGTCACCAGGGCGTACGAGTTACGAGGGCTCTCGGTGATCTAATCCTGTGAACAGAAACTCACAATTTTCATTAGTTTTATTCTGGAGGTCTGGTTTAATGGATTTAAGTGGGCACCACCTAACTCTGCCGTTTTTTCTAACAGCGGCATACCCTCGCCCTGTAAGGGCTAGCCTCTATCGTTGTTCCCATCCCCACCTCCATTCCCGTTTTATATCGAACGGGAGCATATCGTCTCTTCCGAAAACACCATCTGTGAGGGTGAAGACCATGGCAGAATTAAGCCCTTTATCTGCAATTGCCTTAACAATTGCTTGTACATCCTTAGGGTTTATTGGCGAGCGCACCCTCTGTCCCCCCGTCTGTCACCCGACCGGGAATGCTAGTTTGACTGATGGGGCCCAGTCGGCACACGAAATCTTTATTTCCTTCCAGTCCGTGAGAGGGACTTCTTCCCCTCGCCGTTCCTCTTTAGTCCCGATGGGAATACTTTGGCTCTTGACTTTGTTTACCACCATTTCCTCCTCCTCTGAGTTTGAATCGGTTGCGAGCCACTCGCCCCAGGCAGTGTCTGACTCACAGTCGGAAGCCGACTGACCGGTTACTTCAGGTTTCCCGCGCCTTTTCGCTGGGCTCCGGCCCCGCCCGCTTTTCTTGTGGGCGGGCCGTTCCCTCCCTCTGGGCTCTCCCCGCCCTCCTGGTTCGCCCCGCCCCCTGCTCCCCGGGGTGCTTGCCCTACAATGGCATTTCTCCAGACGGCCGCTCTGATTGGCTTTCCGCCCCTCGCTCGCGCGCCCCTCCCCCTTTCGGTTCTCCTTCTCATTCTCCTCCCTCCCCCCCCCCCCTTACGCGCACTTGTCAGTTCTAGCACTTCCCCCCTGTTCCCGCCGGGAGCATCTTCGCCCCGCCTCCTTCTCTCCGCTCGGCTCCATTTTGGGGCGCACAGGGCGGCGGGCTAACCCCAACTGCCTCGGACTCCTCCGCGGCGCCCCTGGCCTCCTCGACCAACCCACCCCAAAAGGATTTTGCTCGTTCCTGTCCCTCCGTAGGCGGGTCGGGATTCAGGGACTGGGGAGGCGTGTCGCCTTTCTGCGTATCTTTAGGCTCAGTAGCGCCGTCACCGTCTGGGGGGTGCAGAGTTTGTGTAGCTGCCCCGACTCCCAGTTTCGGGGTAGCCCACAAACAGTTCTTTGCTGCCTTCCAGGTCTCCTGCTCTTGCATGGCCTTGCACAGGGCCTGTACGACTTTCCCCCACAACTTAAGGTATTTCCCACAACCCGAGGACATCGTCTCCTCGGCTAACACTTCAGTGCATTTATCCCACACCTCAGGGTGGAGAATATCCACTGGCTGGTCAATGACCCCAGTTTGTAAAAGCCTCGCGACTGCGAGAGTAAAATCTTTGGGCTTACAATCAATACCCCACTGCTTATGTAACTGAGATACGACCTTCACAAGGGTTTCCATCCTCCTTGTTGGTCCGGGAGCGTCCTCCCCGCCGAGCTGGTCCAGCCGCTCCGGCCGCCGTTCACCTGTCCATACGATTCCCGGGTTTCAGCACCACTTGTTGCCTTCGTTGGCGTGGCGACCTGGTTCAGGAACGGCACGGCGACCAACCCCAGGCCGCTCGGGCCATCAGCTCACGGACACCAATGTGGTGGATGGCAAATGGCGTTTCTTGGCGAGTAACACGGCGTTATATAGCCTGGGTTTACAACGTCACGTCCGTCTGCTTACGACCTAGGCTAGGCCCTATTGGCTACTCGGAGGGGGGTCTTATCTTTTCGTACAGTGCGACATCTTCCGATCGCCAGACCCCAACTACCTACAGGAAGAGAAAAACAAACGATGGCCAAACATCACCTGGGGGCAATGTGGAGGCAGTGTTCTCACAGGAGAAGGGATAATTGGTACATAAATCCTGAAAGATACAGCAAGGCCATGAGAGGCCCAAGGAAGCCCAAACAAGCAAGATAAGAAGAAGCTGGAATTAACAAAGTTAAAGAGAACTGTGGTCTGTTGGCAAGCTTTCGAGGTCAAGTTCTCACACCTGTGCTTACCTGATTATATGGTAGTCACTAAGGGTCTTCAAGACATGTATCCAATCATAATATGCCAAACCACTGTAAGTGCATGTAAGAAATAGTATAGAAGGAGTTAAGGCTTTGTAATAAATGGCTTTGGTCTGATCATATTGATCTCTGACTGAGTCCATATATTTTCTGTGGCAACATGGCATCTGCCTGGCCTGACACAGCGTGGGCCTTGGTTGCCACCCTGTCAGCACTGAACCTCAGTGCTTTCTCTTCTGCCCCAAGGTCCTTCCCTTGCGGCTGCTGTCTGACTGTGCTGGGGTGGCCCCGTTCTGGTTTAGGGCTCTTGCAGCTTCTGCCAGCCCTGAGGGCTGTCTAGAAAGCACGACTACTCCCTGGGGGTGTCTGTGGAGCTCCTGAGCCTAAAGCTCTGCCAGTTCCTGAAGTGAAGGCGTAGGATCCGTCAGAAGAGGGTGAGCTTCCTGCCCCGCTGCATCTTGCCCCCATCTCTTCATGCCTACTCCCTCTTGGACTTCAGTCCTCCCGGCTTGGAGAAGAAGACTGCACAGAGCAGATCCCAGTATCGCAGTATCACAGTATGTTAGAGTCCAATCCCCCTGCCGGTGCAGGAACACCTAGATAAGGTTACACGGGAACGTGTCCAGGCGGGTTTTGAATGTCTCCAGAGAAGGAGACTCCACAACCTCCCTGGGCAGCCTGTTCCAGTGTTCCGTCACCCCAACTGAGAAGAATTTTCTCCTCAAGTTTAAGTGGAACCTCTTGTGTTCCAGTTTGTACCCATTGCCCCTTGTCCTATCATTGTTTGCCACTGAGAAGAGCTTGGCTCCATCCTCGTGACACTCCCCCTTTATATATTTATATACACTAATAAGGTCACCCCTCAGTCTCCTCTTCTCCAAACTATAGAGACCCAGCTCCCTCAGTCTTTCCTCATAAGGGAGATGCTCCACTCCCTTAATCATCTTAGTTGCCCCGCGCTGGACTCTCTCCAGCAGGTCCCTGCCCTTCTTGAACTGAGGGGCCCAGAACGGGACACAATATTCCAGATGAGGTCTCACCAGGGCAGAGTAGAGGGGAAGGAGGACCTCTCTCGACCTACTAACCACCCCCCTTCTAATACACCCCAGGATGCCATTGGCCTTCTTGGCCACAACGGCACAGTGTCGGCTCATGGTCACCCTGTCATCCACTAGGACCCCCAGGTCCCTCTCTCCTACACTGCTCTCTAACAGGTCGTTCCCCAACCTATACTGGAACCTGGGGTTGTTCCTGCCCAGATGCAGGACTCTACACTTTCCCGAGCGGGGCAGGGCAAGGAGCCCGGCCGCGGGGCAGCAGCTGCAGCAGCCGGGTGAGCAGCTGCCTGCGAAGGACCCGCTGCAGGACAAGGACACCACCGGCGGCTCCGAAGCTGCTGTGGCTGCCGACGTGGGGCAGCTGGTGGACAGGGTGCAAACCGACGAGAGCGGCAGCTCTGAGGTAGAGACTCTCCCCAGTCCCCTGGGTGCTCCCCCGCTGACGCGCCTCCTCCTCCAGGGGTGGCTCTTTGCCCTTGGCATCAGCTTCAGCGCTCCTGCACAGAGCTCAGCACGGGCAGGCAGGGCTGGATGCAGCCCTGCTGACATGGGTTTGTGTCATGGCTTCCACTGGGGCAGGGTGGGGACCAAGTTCCTGGTCTGTAGGGACCCTCCCGTGGGGCTCATGCCTGCCACCCTCCTCTCCTAGGACACGTCTGCCTACCAGGATGTCCTTGAGGAGATTAGCCAGACGAAGGAGGCGCAGTCTCGCATGCAAGGAGAAATCCGCATGATCCAGGAGGCGCTTGGCTTGGTGAGCTGCTGCTGCTGGAGGAAGCTGGCCTCTTGCTCCCCTCCCTGCATCACCCCGCATCTCCCTGCGGACCCTGTCCTCCGGCCTCGGCTGTCACCCAGTATCAAGGGCACTGGGAGGGAAGAGTGGGAAGGGTGCCCCGGGAGGGAAGAGTGGGAAGGGTGCATCAAAAGGGAAGCATGGGAGCTCAGCCCACCCTACCTGGAGCCCCGGGGAGGGCAGGAACGGGCAGCACTGCCTGCGGCTCAAGCTGCTGGCAGAGGTAACTGTGTGTGTCCACCCAAGTGGCGCTAAGGCGCTTCCTAACTAAACACCCATGAAAGTACCATGGGTGCTGGGAAGGAGGGTCAAGATCTACTGGTACAATACAGCAGCAGCCCCCCCGGCACAAGCCTGCCCAGCATCCATCTGTCTAGCGCCCAAGTTAATTTGCAGATGCTTCTGTCCAGTCCTGCTCCTGTGTCCTGACTGCCGTCCTTCTCCTTGCCCCACTTTAGGGGAACCTCCAGGTTGCTGCCGGCCGGCTGCCACGCCTTGGCAACCTAAGGACTCTGGCCAGTGATGTGGTATGGTTACAAGCACGCCAGATCCTGCTGCAGGACAGGAGATGGCTGCATCCCTGGGGGACCAGTGCAGGCGGTCCCTCTGCACTAGGGCATGGTCCCCAGCAGTGCTGGGTGTGAGGGTGGGCTGGGCCCACCATGCCCCAGGCTACATGGGTGGAGTAAACCCTTGATCCCTTCCTTCCCCAGCAAATGCTGAAGGAAAGACTGGGCCTGTACCCAAACCCGGAGGAGGTCAACAACATGGTGCACTGGGATGTGCTGGAGGATTGCCTGGTGGGAGGCAAAGGAGAACGAGGTAGAGATGGAGGAAGACCCAGAAGAGAACAAGAAGGAGACCGCTCTGCCACCACCAAGTCTCCCACTCCAGACGTGGACACGCCACATGGAGCAAGCTCAGTGCTGGCATTTAGAGAGAGCTCAGTGGGGCTGAAGGATCCAAGGACAGCTGTAAGGGTCCCTAAGCAGCAGGCAGGCATTCCCTCAGATCAGAGGAGGGATGCTAGCACCAGAGCGATGACGCAGACAGCGTCTCAGGACGTTCAGACCACCAGCCCGGGGACACAGCAAACACACCCGGAGTCCATGGGCACCCAGACCACCAGCCCGGGGACACAGCCAACAGAGCTGGTGTCCACGGGCACGCAGACCACCAGCCTGGAGACACAGCCAACAGAGCTGGTGTCCACGGACATGCAGACCATCAGCCTGGGGACACAGCCAACAGAGCTGGAGTCCACGGACATGCAGACCATCAGCCTGGGGACACAGCCAACAGAGCTGGAGTCCATGGGCACGCAGACCACCAGGCCGGGGACACAGCCAACAGAGCTGGTGTCCACAGACAGGCAGACCACCAGCCTGGGGACACAGCCAACACAGCCGGAGACCACAGGCACCGAGACCACCAGCCTGGGGACACAGCCGGAGTGTACCGTCCCTCAGACCACCATCTCAGGGGAGCAGCTCAGCACAGAGCTTCACCGGGCTGGCCCCCTTGCAGCAGGGACTCTCTTGCTGACAGCCCAGGGATTCGAGATCCCACTCGACGCTGATCCCAGCGCCACGTCCCACGTGCAAGAGCTGGCCTTGCCCTCGGGCTCCAGCAGTGCCTACCACAATGCCTACAAGTGCTACGTGGAGACGGTGGAGGCTCTCAAGCAGATTGGGCAGCTCAGACACCTCTATGCTGCCCTGAAGGAGCAGGTGGCCCAGCTAGAAGCCACCAGGTTGGAGCGGACTGAACTGGAGAAGCTGCGCCTGCTCCTCCAGGAGGGAGGTGGGAGCTCTGGGAGCCTTGTGGGGGGCGTTTGAAATGTTGGCTCTTGAGCTGGCTGTGCTCAGAGCCTTGCCCGCAGGGTGAGACCCCTTCACTGACAGTGTGTCCCCTCGGACCGTGTTGTTGTAGGCCAGGAGAGCATTGCCAACATGCTGGGTGACCTCCAGGCCCAGGTGTCACCCCTGCAGGGCGTGGCCAGGGACCTGCAGGAGGAGAAGGGGAAGGTAAGAAGTCCCCGAGGGAGATGCAGGGATGCTGGGAGAGTTGGGCACGGAGGAGGCAGCTGAAGAGCCCCTGTGCTGGGATGGCACAGGGGCCATGCCCTGACTCTGCCCCCACTGCCGTTCCCAGATCAGGAAGCTGGAGAGTGCCCTTGGCAAACTGGAGGCGGCCAGAGCCAGCTGGCAAACAGATCTCGACGAGCAACTCAGCCTGCCATTGGGGTAAAAGGACAGGGACAGGAGGGGGTTTCGTTCCCTGTGGGGCTGCGAGGGAGCCCAGGAGGGCTGGGAGCATCCCATGCTGGGGGGGTGAGGGATGCCCCCTGAGCAACTAAGCTTGTGAAGACTAAGCCTGCCTGTGCCCCCATCTCGCTGTCCAGGTCCACACCGCAGCAGGTCAAGCGGGACATGAAGGACCTGGCAGAGCATCAGCAAATAAGCAAGGCTGCACTGGATCAGTTGGTGACCCAGATGGCCGAGGAGGGGCAGGAGCAGGTGAGGCGTGGGGGGAGCTCCCACCACCCGCTGGCTCTTCGAGGTGCTCCTGGTGGGATTCCCAGCCACATCCTGTGGCTGGCTGGGACCACGGAACCTCCATGGCCCCTGGGATTGTTGGCTGCATCTGTCCCGTCTCAGAGGTGATTCCTCTTCCCCTTCTGCAGCTCAAAGAGGTGAGAGTGATGGAGAACACGGGGCAGGAGGAGGCGGTATGCCCCACGTGCAGCAGCGACACCAGCATGCGTTTGGGGAAGCTTCTGCGGTGCTATGAGAAGCTGCAGGGGCTGGTGGACTCCCTCATGTCGACGAAGGAGACGGGCAAGGTGATGCGGCAGCTGCCAGGGAAGAGCCAGGTCGGGAGATGGCAGCATGGGGGACCTGGGAGGGGGCTGCCAGAGCCATGCCCGGCTGTTTGTGCTTCGGTCTGATGTGGGGGAGGTCCTTGCTGCCCCCCGTATTGTCTTGTGAAGTCTGCAGCATAGAGGGAGATTCAAACCGTGCTGCAAATGTCCTGCCGGCACTGGGAGCCTATGGCCACTGGCCCAGTAAGCCAGGTCTGTCCCCATGGGGCAGCCTCCCCACCTTGCCTGGCACTACCTTGTTATTTTCCTCCCTGGAGCAGGACCAGGAGGAGCTGAAGCGCATCCAGGCTGCCGTGCTGCAGATGCAAGGGGAGTATGAAAAGCTCAACTCTGTCATGGGGAGCCTCCTGGAAGACAGTCGCCAGCAGCAGAAAGATATGGAGGTAGATGGCTGAAATCCCCATGGGTTAGAGAGCCTCCTGGAGGCAGAGCCCAGGCTGGGGACCGTAATTTGCCCTGTGGAGATGAAGAGTACCTTTCCCAGAGGCTTCTGCGTGGGGGGAGAAGCAGGGGTGCTCCTGCCACAATGTCATAGGATGCTTTCTGTGTTGGAAGGGTCTGTTGCAGTCCGTGGAGAGGCTGGAGAAGGAGAAGGCAGACAAGGACGACCTGGAGCTGGGAATGGATGAGGTACGGCCTCAAGGGGCCTAGAAGCACCAGCCAAGGGGGTCCTGGGCAGGGAGACAAACGCCCCTTCTTCCCTGGGAGCTTGGTGGGAGAGCTGGCCGGGGGGAGGGAGGATTTCTAGCCCAGCTGCAGGTCCCTCTGTCTCCCCCCATGTCCCTTGGGCTGGTGGGACCGACCCCATGGGGGTGATGGGGCGAGTGGGACCACGGAGCCGTGGGAGGAACACAGTGGTCCTGCAGGAGTGCTTTTGCCTCTGCCCCTGCAATGAGCTGACCCTGGCTGTTGCACCTCCATCCTTTCTCCACCGTTCTCCTGCCTTTCCCTGTTGCTAGAAAGCAGACAAAGACACCTTGGAAAGCAAAGTCAGCCGCGCCCAGTTTGAGGCGAGCCTGGAGCTGCTGAACGAGAGAAACCAGGAGGTGCTGAGCCGGCTGGCAGGCCAGGAGCAGGGGCTGCACGAGGTCCAGCAGCAGCTGCGGGAGGAGATGGCCTCCAAGGTGAGGGGCGGCTCATCACCGCTGCGCAAAAAATGGCACCTTCGGGGCTTGGTGGCCCAAGGTAGCATCCTCCTGAGGATTCCTGCTCCTGGCTTTTCCGTGGGGATGCAGTGTCCCATCCCGGAGCCGCTGGCTGAGGGAGTGTGTCTGTCTGCAGCTGGATCGCCTGGAGCTGGGGCCATTCCAGCAGGAGCTGGAGGAACGCTGGAAGAGCAGCCTCGAGCAGCTCAAGGAAAGGGCACCACCAATGGAAGCTGACGATGCAGCTGGGATTAGGAAGTGAGTGCGATAGGGACAGCACTCACCTTGTTCCCGCTTTGTCCTTGCCTGCATCCCCTGTTCCCACGGTGCTCTGGGTGCCTGTGGCAGTGGTTGCCACGGCTTTGGGGGTTCTTGGGTGCTGGCTCCCCTCTGCGGATTCTCCTGTGCCTAAGACGAGGTGCAGCTTTTTCCCAGGCGGGAGCCCTCAACCAAGCGCTTTCCCTCATCCTATCTCCTTTCTTCTGTAACCAGCCAGCAGGTTGGGACCTCGTTGGTGTTGGGGGGGGTGGGGGCATAAACCAGGCTGAAACCCAGGTTTCTGAACTCACCCAGCCCTTTCTCCCCTCCCCAGGCAGCTGCTGGTGGATTTCCAGTGCCTGTCTTGTGACAGCCAACTCAGCATGCGGGTGCCTGGCTCGTGAGTACCACCCAGCACAGGCGCATCAGGAGTCTGCATGGGTGGGATGGGGGGAGATGGGTGCTGGTGGTGCTGCAGACCAGGCATGGGGTTCGGGGTGTCCGCCTGCGAGGGTGCGATTGTGCCCAGCACCCTCCACAGGCCTGCCCGTCAGTGGGAGGATTAGGACCCCTCCCTGAGGGCAGCGGGTAGGGGATGTAGTGAGGTACAAGCCTGTGGGGTTTGGAGTGCTGCCACGAGCCCGGGTGGCTCATTTGTCCCCTGTCACCCACTGATGGCTCTTTCCCTCCCCAGGCCTATCCCGCCCATCCCATCCTTTCCACCGCTGGCCCTTCACGGCACTGGACAATCCCACCCTGTTCTAAAGATGGAGCAAATCCAGAGGTAGGGGACACGGGCCCCATCCCCACCCCTGGCGTGCGTGATGGCCCTGCCCCAGCAAGGGAGAGTCCTTCCCTGCGTCGGGGTAAAGTGCTCTGCTCCCTGGGCAGGGCAGGGGAGCAGAGATGTGCCACAGAGGCTCAGCTGTGCTTGCCCCAGTCTGGGGGGTTTTATAGCCTTGCCGCTGTGCTGCCCCGTCTCTCTCTCAGGGGCACTGAAGCCACATGTGCTGAGTTGTGTGCTGGGTGCTGAGTGTTCCCATACCCTATCCTGCAGGGAGCGGATGGCTGCATGCAGGTACCCCACCGTGCCACGGCAGTGTGGGGGCCAGCGTACCCTCACACCCCCAGTGCAGCGCAGCCTGCACGTCCAGCCGGTCCAGCCCAGCGCCCCACAGACACTCCAACCATCCACCCTGCTCCCCAGCAAGGTAGGGATGAAGAAAGAAGGGATCTGGTGGGGGTGACTGAGGTTGGGAGGGTGATGCTGAGCATCTGGGGGGAATCCATGCCTCAGTTTCCCCAAGAGAGACGGGTATAGAGGGTTGCTTGGGGATGCTGAATTCAGCCCCGTGCTTTAGCCAGCCCATTCTCTCCTCTCCAGCAGGACAAGATAGAGCTGCCGGGGCAGGACATCCAGGGCTGGCCCCTGCCCCTCAGCCCCAGGCACCACTGGCCCACTGGAACACAGGTCAGCCCCATCCCAGAGCCACCTTCTCCAAGGTACACCTGCCACCCACCCCTCCTGCCCCGCAGGATGGATGCAGCAACCCGGCAGCCGGGCAGGACTGCGGTCACCGGCTGAATCCCAGTGCCCTGGCACCCCAGCAGGCGAGGAAGTAGCTCCCAGCAGCAGCAATAAATGGTGATGCTCAGCAAAGCGCCTGTGTGGCCTGAAGTGGGGGAACCCTGGCTTGGGATCTGCCCTTGGCCTTTGGCCACGTGTCACTGAAGGACCTGAAAACAGCCCCTGGCCACCCCCCTGCTCCTCATCCCCAGGGGCTGAGCAGCCTGAGCTGCTGCACTCCCCCTGGCACCTCCATGAGCCCTGTGTGGGTCCGATGGCCCCTGCTAGGGGAGCCTGTGGCCCCAGAGTGGGGCTGGGGGAGCTGAGCAGTGCAGCAGCAGCAGCAACAGGAGGAGGATGCTCGGTTGCTGCTGAAGGTGACAGCAAATTGGCACCTGGGTGGGGAAGGGTGGTGGCGGCAGCACACGGTGAGGGACAGCTCTCAACTCCCTGCTAAAAGCAGGGAATTTGCCCGTATTGTTGCCCTTGCTTTCTGATTGTGACTATTGCAGTGCTATTGGTAAAGAGCACAGCGCAGGAAGGGGCTTCAGGGCTTCATGCTGGAGTTAGCTTCCTTGGTGTTTACGTCAAGGAAGGCAACACGTGTGGCTGTACCGCTTCTGGCATCCAATTTAGATCATACCTAGCCCTTAATTCATCAATAAGCCATGACATCAGCTAGCTGGGGCCAGCCAAGACTGTGGACATTTGGTGCCTCAAATTGCATAGGAGAGCTAACTCCCACCACAGATAGGGTGTGTGGACTTCTGAGGCTAGGGTTCAAGTCCACTGGCTTCAGAAGTCTACAGAATAAAAGCTTAACACTGCCCCGTTGAAGCCAAAGGGCTGTAGTCATCCGCCCATATGTGGCTGTTAAGAGACTGTGCTGTTGACTTCACTGTCTGTGTGGACCGTGCAACCAACAGTCTTCAATCCGAGACTGTAGACCCTTGAACTGTCCTGGAAGCCCTGCTATCAAGCTTAGATGTAGAAACATACACAGCAGTTACCTATAGTTAGGTGAGAGGAATGGCAGTACAGGTGTCTATGGGACTGTAAGACGGCTGTGATGAAGTGAGCATCAAGAGATGAGACAGAGGTTTGTGCTGAATGCACCAGGCTGCGTTAACCAAATGCCACAGTGCTGGGCCAGTGGCTGTGACAGGCACAGCCTTCACGATAACCTGTAAGTGTGAGGTATATAGGAATGATTCGTGTCAGCAACTTAGGTGCTCTTGTCGTCATTGTACTTTGGGTGGAATCCAAAATCCGTGAAATCATTGCATCGTGTGTAGAATGTATAAGAATGATCAGATTATGAGATGTTCCTGTCAATACAATGATGAAAGAGAAGAAGAAACAAAGAAATAATCCTTCCTAATCAAACGCTTTGTTACTTTAAGGGGTACTTTAACTACTCGAATGTCTCAAAGTAACTGTACGAGAAATGGAATTTAGGGGGCTGAGATGGTGGTTAAGCTTGTGACAGACATCCCCCGTTAACGTATTGCCAAGGAATTCAATAACTTTTCAAGAAGTTTCTTCACCCGAAGATAAGACTTGTTGCGTTCCCGTCTGGGAGGGTTTTGACCCCAGCTGCTTGTGTCGTGAGCAGTCTGGGGGCTGTGTTTCTGGTCCATGTTAACGGAGTTGGGCTATGGGAGCGCTGAACCAGGGGCTGGCGCGTTGTTTGAGAAGGGAATCGAGACCGCTCCTTGGCGCGGGTGGGCAGCAAGAGGAGACAAACTTCGTGCTTCTGTTTCTGACCGCCTTGCCCGAGAGCACAGAAGGGAATGCTTCCTTCAGGTGCTGCACGGCCGGCCCCATGGTTTGCTGCAGGCAGAGCGGAGCAGCCCCTTGCTGGCTGAGTGCCCTCTCCTCTCGTGCACAGGAGAGCAATGGCTTTCATCCAGACTGAGTTGGTGGAACATCCCGAAAGGGCAGCTTAGGGCAACCTGTTCGCAGGGCTGCTCAGTCTCTCGTGTCAGGGCACTGAAAACAAGCTCACATGTGCCTCCCAGCCAGGCCAGGGATGCTAGTTTCTGTGCTGGCCTTTTTGTTTTGTGAGTGTTGCATCATTCTTGTTCTGCAGGGGCAAGGCCCGTGAGGGTCTTGGTCCTCACTCGAACACTTTGTCTGCACTGCAAAGCCAGGCACCGTTTGTGGAGTTGCCTGGGGCTGCTGAGTTGTGGCAGAGTCTTTGTGGGGAAGGGGAGTTGGAAGAACATCTGCGGGTGTGCTCTCCAAAACACTGCCACTGACCCCGCCACCAAAGCATAGGAACGGCGACCAACCCCAGGCCGCTCAGGCCATCAGCTCACGGACACCAATGTGGTGTACGGCAAATGGCGTTTCTTGGCGAGTAACACGGCGTTATATAGCCTGGGTTTACAACGTCACGTCCGTCTGCTTACGACCTAGGCTAGGCCCTATTGGCTACTCGGAGGGGGGTCTTATCTTTCCGTACAGTGCGACATCTTCCGACCGCCAGACCCTAACTACCTACATTTCCCCCCTCCCTATGTTTAATTAAATAGGCTAATGTAAAAAGTAAAAAAGTAGAAAAGTAGAAAAGGGTACACATATACATATAAAAAATGTTACAGCATGAGGCACTTCAGGTTAGTGGTTAATGGCTTCGGGTAAGTGGTTAGTGAGGGGTAATTAAGGGGACGGGTTGTAAGTTGGGGCAAGTTGGGATAAGTGGCGGTAATACTGAGTAGATACATTCTTAAAGTAGTTGGTGGCTTTCTACAAACATGATGTTAACCTGTTCTAGCCGGCTGTTCACAAATGACACAAAGCGATTCAATATACAGGGTCCAAAGAGTAATACCAGCACGATCATTCTACTTGCCCTATAGTAACAAACCCCAAAATCAAAATCAGACAAAGGCATCGTAGCCCCCTCCCTTGGGGGCTATTTCGCTGTTGCCCAGGGTCCGCTGGTGTGGAGCTCCTGGGTACAGCCGCAATGGTTAGTGACTTGTCGCCCTCTCTTGTCACCAGGGCGTACGAGTTACGAGGGCTCTCGGTGAGCTAATCCTGTGAACAGAAACTCACAATTTTCATTAGTTTTATTCTGGAGGTCTGGTTTAATGGATTTAAGTGGGCACCACCTAACTCTGCCGTTTTTTCTAACAGCGGCATACCCTCGCCCTGTAAGGGCTAGCCTCTATCGTTGTTCCCATCCCCACCTCCATTCCCGTTTTATATCGAACGGGAGCATATCGTCTCTTCCGAAAACACCATCTGTGAGGGTGAAGACCATGGCAGAATTAAGCCCTTTATCTGCAATTGCCTTAACAATTGCTTGTACATCCTTAGGGTTTATTGGCGAGCGCACCCTCTGTCCCCCCGTCTGTCACCCGACCGGGAATGCTAGTTTGACTGATGGGGCCCAGTCGGCACACGAAATCTTTATTTCCTTCCAGTCCGTGAGAGGGACTTCTTCCCCTCGCCGTTCCTCTTTAGTCCCGATGGGAATACTTTGGCTCTTGACTTTGTTTACCACCATTTCCTCCTCCTCTGAGTTTGAATCGGCTGCGAGCCACTCGCCCCAGGCAGTGTCTGACTCACAGTCGGAAGCCGACTGACCGGTTACTTCAGGTTTCCCGCGCCTTTTCGCTGGGCTCCGGCCCCGCCCGCTTTTCTTGTGGGCGGGCCGTTCCCTCCCTCTGGGCTCTCCCCGCCCTCCTGGTTCGCCCCGCCCCCTGCTCCCCGGGGTGTTTGCCCTACAATGGCATTTCTCCAGACGGCCGCTCTGATTGGCTTTCCGCCCCTCGCTCGCGCGCCCCTCCCCCTTTCGGTTCTCCTTCTCATTCTCCTCCCTCCCCCCCCCCTTACGCGCACTTGTCAGTTCTAGCACTTCCCCCCTGTTCCCGCCGGGAGCATCTTCGCCCCGCCTCCTTCTCTCCGCTCGGCTCCATTTTGGGGCGCACAGGGCGGCGGGCTAACCCCAACTGCCTCGGACTCCTCCGCGGCGCCCCTGGCCTCCTCGACCAACCCACCCCAAAAGGATTTTGCTGATTCCTGTCCCTCCGTAGGCGGGTCGGGATTCAGGGACTGGGGAGGCGTGTCGCCTTTCTGCGTATCTTTAGGCTCAGTAGCGCCGTCACCGTCTGGGGGGTGCAGAGTTTGTGTAGCTGCCCCGACTCCCAGTTTCGGGGTAGCCCACAAACAGTTCTTTGCTGCCTTCCAGGTCTCCTGCTCTTGCATGGCCTTGCACAGGGCCTGTACGACTTTCCCCCACAACTTAAGGTATTTCCCACAACCCGAGGACATCGTCTCCTCGGCTAACACTTCAGTGCATTTATCCCACACCTCAGGGTGGAGAATATCCACTGGCTGGTCAATGACCCCAGTTTGTAAAAGCCTCGCGACTGCGAGAGTAAAATCTTTGGGCTTACAATCAATACCCCACTGCTTATGTAACTGAGATACGACCTTCACAAGGGTTTCCATCCTCCTTGTTGGTCTGGGAGCGTCCTCCCCGCCGAGCTGGTCCAGCCGCTCCGGCCGCCGTTCACCTGTCCATACGATTCCCGGGTTTCAGCACCACTTGTTGCCTTCGTTGGCGTGGCGACCTGGTTCAGGAACGGCACGGCGACCAACCCCAGGCCGCTCGGGCCATCAGCTCACGGACACCAATGTGGTGGATGGCAAATGGCGTTTCTTGGCGAGTAACACGGCGTTATATAGCCTGGGTTTACAACGTCACGTCCGTCTGCTTACGACCTAGGCTAGGCCCTAT